TATTTGTTGATGGTGTAAGAGTAATAATTTAACAAAAACTATGGTACAATATTTATAGAAAAAATGTCAGATATGTCAAAGTACCTCTATACATTACTCTGCCGATTAGGAGATATACACATACTGCATCCATTGTGCTTTTTGTAAAATGCATTTGTTTGCAATTAATAATTTTAATCATTCTGCTTTCACATCATCTGGTACTCGTACCAATAGCTGTCTTTTCAAAGATATTTGGCAGACATAAACTTGAGGTTGTAATTAGAAGGCTGCTCTTAAAACTATATTGAAGCGAACCAACAGCACCATTGTAAACTCGATCAGGTGTCAGCTTCCACTACCTAGGCCCAGCTATCCACTGCCACTGAACGCGATAGGCTGATGGCCAACACAAACCGAAAGTTCAGCAGCGTGGTCTACTGCACTTCAGCCTAGCTGAAAATTCTTTTGATTATTGTAATTGCTGGCATTCTGCCATTTTATAAATTACTTTTTTATTAATTCTTATTAAAACTTCTGTATGTTTTATGGACATTTTTATCATGTTCTTTCTAGTTTTGAGATCGCTGATTTGTGTTGTTTACATGCATTTTACGATCAACAGCCTCTTCATGATGTCAGTAAGTCGTTGACACCAATGCACTTTTTTACATGTGCGCTCAATCTGATGACTCACCTTGGTTAGTAGTCAGTTGTTTATTACATTAATGGTAATTATTATAGAAGAAATGGAAGAAAAGATTTAACTATTAATAAATAAATACAAAAATACCTGATTTTATTAATAGAAAATATATTATCACTTTAAAAAACTTACGCAATCGGACTTATTTTACGTTAATAATATGTTAACAGCAAAAACCATTTGTAAAATTGACTATTTGTTGAATCGACGTTCGTAAAACCCGCGGACCAGTGAGCGGTTGGTGTTCACTAATAAAGTATCCACATTGGATTCGGTTATCAGAAAACGTGTGGCGTTTTATTTTTTTATGACTTTTATACAGTAATGTCATGATGAAACAGCGTTTTTTTTATGACTTTTATACAGTAATGTCATGATGAAACATGATCCATCATGCACCTCCACCAGATTTACCCTTTCCGACATCTTTAACTGCCAGATCCTAGCATAGTGTCTTTGCCCCTGAGGGGGCATAGACAAGAAAACAAAAAAATATCAATTACAGGGATCAATTAAAAATGCGTTATAAGACACAAACAAGGAATCATTATGAGTCCATTGATAAATATTTCATAAAGTGAAAAAACTGAAATGTCTATCCAATGAATAAGTAATTAAGATATAGTTGTCAATACAATTAACAAACGTATTGACCACAAACTAGAGTTAAAGCCTTGCTGGGAGCCTTGGGTTGCCTCTAGACCATCAGCAATTGGGACATTGCATGTGGAATTGTATTGTTATCTGTAAATTGAAACTTAAATATATTTTAACAATGGATATTCTTTATAAAGAAAAGAGCTCTTACGAGTAAGCAGTTTGCGGGCATATGGGACAAGACATGACATATCCACTCCATATACTTTTTTTGTTTTTTCCCACAAGGAAGTTGTCTCGTCTAATGTTTCCTCGTCTGTGACTGGAGCCATGTAGATACTGGCAATAGAGGGCAGCATAATACCTCCCTAAAAATAAAATATTGTTTTAATATGCATGTAATATTTAAAACATTGATTGAATTGAATATAAATGCATATAGTGAAATTAATAATTATAATGTCAATTTATGTAACATGACAAAGTTAACAATAATTAACAATTATTGTTTGTTTATTTTTATTTAATTAGCATTTAACAAAATATAATAATCCACATAAGATATTTGTATTGTATATCGTCTTTAGGATACATCTGACAAATTTAAACCAAACTACAAGGACAAAAATAAAACAATTCTTGTACAGTATTTCTATTATATTCACTTGATTGTGTTATGCTGATTAATATTCTAATTGGCATTGGAAAGTCACTAGACAGTGATTTAGTTCATTTCTGGAAATCCTCTCCGGCCAATTGAGTTTTTTTTTTTTTTTTTTTTCTCTGTCATGTTTTTTTTTTGTCTGTTTTATTGTTCTTTGGACCAAATTATTGAAGTGAAATAAAAAAAATTGAAACTTGCCTCTTTTAGCCAATGCTCACGTGTATAGACCACAGAGTTTAACATTGACTCGTACAGCAGAAAATAGCCCTATGACAAAATAAACAATTCAAAACATAAATCAAATTAGTATTCTGCTGTAGGAATTTTCATGGCCATATCAGATGATAGTGGGGTCAAGGCCTGTCTGACCCACCTTGTCCCCCCCCCCACCTCTCCCCAGCACCACCACTGACTCAGGACCCTCAGATTGGATAACAAGCATCCTAATCACCAAGCTACAGCTCTTCCTCCACTATTGATATACTGATTGGCATGGTGACCACGTGCTGTAATAAAACCATAAAACACTGGCTTAGAATTGCATCAGTACTGTAATTCCTTGGAAAAAACCTTCCCCCTTAAGCAGCTAGCTCACATGGCTAAACTGGTGGTAACCACTGTGTGTGCTCTGAAGCGTGGAGATCTTTAGGTCGCTGGTTCAATTCCCATCTCTGCTCTCCTTGTGTTTCAGCCAGAGGGCTGATAAGCAAGTTTCAAAAAGCGCACCGTCTTTAGGATGAGATATTTAAATCGTAGGTCCTGTGCGCACCATGGCCCATGTGCACGTTAAAGAACGCAGTACACTCTTTTCGAAAAAGGGAAGGGGATTGTCTCCTGGTGTACTGCCCAAATCACCACCGGAAGGACCCCACTGGAAGTAAGTCTGATGACTTTCATGGGTTATCCTTGGTGCTTATTACTCCGAAGAAATACAACACACAATTAGGCCAATTTTTAGGGTGGTTGTGATATCCCTGGAAAATCCACTTTCATGAAAAACCTTTTTGAAGTTTGTAAGAATGCGTAACCAAAATAAAAGGTATATTTTTAACACTGTATGCTCAATTCAAAGACATTCTTTGATTTTTTATTAAAATATTTGTAAGGGTCATCTAAGCTATAATTTAAATCATACCTTTTGCTCAGAGAAGTGCTGTATGTAAAATTTAGACATAATGTATGGGATAGGTACCTACAGAATGGGTAATTGATACAATTTTCTGTTGGCCACTGCAGTTGGCTGATGATGAAAATGATATGGTTTGATGATGTTTGAGAAGGATCTAATACAATCTTGATATACAATACAACTCAAATATTTAATATTTTCTTTTCTAATTGATTGAGTGCAATAATTCAAATCCTTATCATTTTTTATTGTTATGTTTGCACATGATTATATTTTTACATGACTTTGTTTTCCCATTTATTTATTTTCTTGCCATTATATATGTTACAGTACTGTAAAGAGGGACCGAGTCTTGCATTTTTATGTGTCATTAAAGTATATCTGTATAAGTGTACTTACCATCCACTCACTAACAATAACATCTACCTTTTCTGGAAGAACAACATCCTGCAAAAATAATTTTAGCATTGTGACTTTTCTTTACTGAGAAACAATAACACAGCTGTCGGAACAGCCGAGTGCTTCCGCAGCCAACCTAATTTTTCAGAATATAACCTAATAAATTGTTAAATACATTTAAAAAAAGCTGTGATACACTGGGTCAAATAAAAAATAAATAAAATTTAAAAATCTTTAAATATTGAAATTTGAAATTTTGGATGGGCCACTGGGTTCCCATGGTAGCTGCAGTGCAGCTCTGGTACAGACATATTATAATGAATACATTCCATTCCTGCCTTAACTCGCATGCAAGTGGTACTTGAGTAGCAGGGCGATCTAACTGAGGTCTTCAGTGTAAGAAGCAGGAACAACTCCAAGACTGCTAGGTTTCCTCAGTAACAAAACCACAATTCAATGGGGAGAAAAAGAATGCATATGTATTTTTCACATATAGATCCCAAAACCGATTAAATAAGCCTTTGAAACCCTCAAATTGGAATATTTTTTTGGATTTTGCCCCCTGGAACACTTTTGGGAGATTTTGAGCGACACTCAACCACGTCCACTTTTTTCTTGTCCGGCACCTCGAACTCCCGTCGGGAAAATCCTGGCAGCGCCATCACTGCTATTGTGCTATATGCATCCTCTAATTACTAATGTAGTTATATTATGTTGTTCTAAATGAACACAGCAAATATACTGGACAATGCATACATTGTTTTTTAAAATATATAGGTTTGAAACAATTATAAATATTAACAATAATAGTACAGATGTGTATAAGAGACAGGCTACAGCTCTTCCTCCACTATTGATATACTGATTGGCATGGTGACCACGTGCTGTAATAAAACCATAAAACACTTGCTTAGAATTGCAGCAATACTTAATTCCTTAGAAAAAACCTTACCCATTGAGCAGCTAGCTCACTTGGCTAAACTGGTGGTAACCACTGTGTGTGCTGCTGTCTCTTATACACATCTAGATGTGTATAAGAGACAGATCTGATGACTCACCTTGGTTAGTAGTCAGTTGTTTATTACATTAATGGTAATTATTATAGAAGAAATGGAAGAAAAGATTTAACTATTAATAAATAAATACAAAAATACCTGATTTTATTAATAGAAAATATATTATCACTTTAAAAAACTTACGCAATCGGACTTATTTTACGTTAATAATATGTTAACAGCAAAAACCATTTGTAAAATTGACTATTTGTTGAATCGACGTTCGTAAAACCCGCGGACCAGTGAGCGGTTGGTGTTCACTAATAAAGTATCCACATTGGATTCGGTTATCAGAAAACGTGTGGCGTTTTATTTTTTTATGACTTTTATACAGTAATGTCATGATGAAACAGCGTTTTTTTTATGACTTTTATACAGTAATGTCATGATGAAACAGCGTTTTTTTTATGACTTTTATACAGTAATGTCATGATGAAACAGCGTTTTTTTTATGACTTTTATACAGTAATGTCATGATGAAACAGCGTTTTTTTTATGACTTTTATACAGTAATGTCATGATGAAACAGCGTTTTTTTTATGACTTTTATACAGTAATGTCATGATGAAACAGCGTTTTTTTTATGACTTTTATACAGTAATGTCATGATGAAACAGCGTTTTTTTTATGACTTTTATACAGTAATGTCATGATGAAAAGTCTGACAACAGGACACAGAGATTAGAGTCAGGCAAACTTAATCTCTAAGCTACCTAAGCTACTGTATACAGCTCCACTCCAAGCCATTACACAACTCCAGTCCACTCCAATTTTGTTACTATAATGGCAATAAGGTAGTCCCAATGGGAGTAACAAAGGGGTTCGAGCCCCCAGTCTAAGGTTTTAAGAAAGTAGTTAGAATATTAGTTTCACACGTTAGTGCCCCTTAAAAAGGTCCTGCTCTCTACTGGGTAGCACCCTCCACATGTTAGGTTTGTAGTTTTGAATGAGCAAACATCTTATAGATTATTATAGGCTTTAGTTTAGAACACTCACCTTTCTTTGCACCAGCTTGAACACAAAAACAACTCAGAATACCTAAAAAGATAATTAAAATAAAAAGGATTTACCATATTTTTTTCGAATAAATGCAAAGGGGCATTTATTGTGGAGGGTTTTTGAGCGTGCGCTATTCGAGGAAGGCGTTGATTTTTTTTGTGTGTAAATGGAAACGTTTATAATAAAACAAACTCCCCTTAATTTCACTGTAAATGTGGAACTACAACACGTAATTACCGTCATAATGTGTTATTGCGTGACCATAAAGACTTTTCAACCCAACCAGGTTAGAAAAAAGGCAATTCTATTGGAGTAGTACATTATAGAATTTAAGAAAGTATAATACATACTCCAAGTATTGAAATACATGCCATCGTGTTGGGATTCAATATTTCGACATTAATTATGTCATCATCAGGAAATGATGATGACATAATTAATGTCGAAATATTGAATCCCAACACCATGGCGTGTATTTCAATACTTGGAGTATGTATTATACTTTCTTATCTGAGATTAATCAGTGGACCTTTCGGTTTTTATAGAATTTATCTTTTGCATAATACATTAGTTTTGTTTACATTTAGGGGGAAGGGGATGCTCATTTGATGAAAAAATAAATGACTCGGGGCATTTATACGACGTAGGAGTTGATTCCAAATGAGGTTCTGGATGGGAGGTTTATTCAAGGATGGCATTTATTCGAAGTGGAGTTTATTCGAATAAATAAGGTAAATTACTTATTCTTCATTATTTAGAATTTTAAAAAAAAAATTAAAATGTTTAGCCCAAATTGCAAGTCAATTATTAGAGTAAAATAATTTCCAATCTTGCAACAATTTTTAAGAAATTTAATCAGGTTTGCTAAATATGCATTGTAGTAGTATCAAAATTTAACAAATATCAATTTAGAGGAAATTACAAAACATAATGAGTGCAAATCAAGAGTGAAACTGATGATTGAAGCAGCATAAAAAAGACTAATTATTAGTACTCTTTTTTTATTCAATTTTATGTAAATTTAAAAAACAATAAATAAATAAATATAAAGTGAGTAATTGTAATTTAAAATTTTGTTTTAAAATTCATGGTTTTCTATAAACTTTTATTGACATACAGTACAATCAAAATTTTTAAATCACAATGACCATAAATTTGAACGTCTTTTAACAGGGGAGAAGCAAGTTACTGTATTATACGAGCCACACCTGAGTGGTTCAATACATTAGTACAAAGCCTTATGTATAAATCCAACTACACTTACTTTACATTAAGTGGCCATTATGAGTATAATTTCACAACCATCTTAAATAATAATAATAATAATCAATTAAAATAATCTTAATTTACCTAAGTTATCTATTTATCTCTATGGTAGCGCAATAAGTATTTTGTTTCTCTTTTGTGAGGATTCCTTTTATCTTTTTTCTTGATTTAAATACCTTAAATTTATTATATAATATAATTTTTTTTTAAAGCAGTAGCAGTATGCCATATAAAATGTGTAAAGGTATGAAACATACCTACAGTATGGCGCTACAACTAGACACCAATTTTAATAACAGCAATCACCATCAAACTGACAACATTTAACCATTAATTGCAAATTTACTCACCTGTACCTGCCCCTACATCAGCAACTACCTTGCCAATCAAACGATCAGAATTCTTCAGTAATGCAAGCCTTCAGTAAAAGAAAAATCAATAAATTTATAAACAAACATTAAACAACTGGTAATATGATAATAACCAGTGACAACAAAACTGAAACCAAAAATACAATTTTTTTTTGGTTAATTATATTACTTTATAACATTATATTTTGCTGTTATTTTTTACTCACACTGTATGCACCACATAAATACTAGTAATGGCCGAGGATATTTGTACAGCCGGCCATGCAACAACTCCTAAGAAAAATAAATGGTTACGCCCCTTTTTCACCAAGTTTTTTAGTATCTAAAAATCAGTGTTTTATAACCATTCCTGATTCTGTCAAACTGTCAGTGCCTTTATATATAAAATCATCTGTTTGACATATCAATTTTTGTTTTCTTCCGGAGCTTGGGTTAAAAATGTGTGATAGTATTCCATAAAACAAAGGTGAGAAGGGGGAGGGGAGAGGTAGAATGTTCTAATGGTCCTTGGGGCTTTCAGAACAATGTTTAAAATGTTTTGATCTTTTTCTGCTGCAAACCAAATCAACCAAATAAAACCATTTTGCCAAATCCCACATCTTCTGATGGATGGTCTTTAAGGGCGGTTTCTGGTGAATAACACCAAAAACACATGTTTTTTTTAAATGGTTAAATCCTTTGAAACATGTTTCTAGTAAAAAGTGCAACTAATAAAAACACGGTAATGCAAGCATTGGACAGGTGGGCGGAGCTTATGATGATGATCACCAACAGATGTTGAACTTGACCTTACTTCTGCGAGCTTACAGCGCATGCTGCGAAAGAAGTACAGTAAACAACACACCGCGAAAGTATGAAAAAATTATGGTAAAGCCACAAGCTGTTGGTTTAATTTCTTTACTTTGCCCCGAATTTTCCGCAGACGAACGATCAAACCAACGAAGAGGTCAATTTGGATCACCCATGGGTCATGACTAACACAGTATTGCGTTGCAGCTGAAAAGTGTACCACAAAATACACGTTTTCTTAACGCCAACCCTAATGAATGCGTGTTAAAGCACTTGTTTTTCAAATGCATTAATACTAACCATGTTTTTGTTTTTTGCCCCGTTTCTGTGGGCAAAAAATATGTTTTTTAATAATCGTTTATAATACACGTTTTTTTGCTCAGGCAAAACAGGCCCTAAATCCCTCTCCAGACTATCAAATACTATTTCAAGAAAAAACATGCGACATCCCTAAATATGGTCACGATGACCATATATAGGCACATAATGACTATTTACGGGCATAACAGAAAATTTGACAACCTGCACAGAGCTGAACACGGCCATTACTGTACTTTCACTCCCCAAATTTCATATTTTTGATGTCAATTTAAAATAATTTTTTGTACGTACAAAACTTTTTTTTTTATTTCCTGTGAATTTTGGTTGGATTTTAAAATAGATTGTAACAGACACAATAAAGTTTAATAAATAATTTAAATCTAGTAAATTTTGTTTATTGCTATATTATTACTAATACCACGACCATCAACAATAACATTAGTACCGTAACGAAAGGATTAATGGAGAAAAAAAGTATTTTACAACCTGTATGTGTTTGTTCTAACTGAATCTGAAATCATTTCTGCATGTACATCGAGATCTGCATAAGACCTATGTTATTAAAAAAGAAAGGTTTGCAATTATTATAGAATTACTGAAGTCTCATTCTGTAAATATTTTATAATCGTAATAAAAACATGAACAAAAAATGTGATGATACTGTAATTGTCAATTGTTTGGCAAGTTTAATCAATTAACCAATTAATCAATTAACCAATTAATCAATCAACCGACAAGGATTTGTATAGCACTAATATCTACGTCAGAATGCAATATCTAGTGGTACTATGGCATTGGTGGCATTAATAATAAAGAATAATAATTCTGGATTTACTGTTAGCGCCTCAAGTTGTCACAACCTTGAGGCAAAAAAGTGAACATATAATGAGATTGAGATACAGTAGTTAGCTAAATAAACACTCTTTACCTGTACATAGCCTGTGAGAAAAAGTATTCTTTGAATTTCATATGTTTATGATACAACAAAAAGTTATATAAACATATCATGTCATTGTGTTGTATAAATGTACCATAGGCCTATTAAGTGTTGTCACTATAGCAAAAGCTATCCTTAGCCACATAACCATCCTATTACTAAATGCTGAATTTTGCTTGATATTTCAATCAAAATTAGGCAATAAGCTAATGACATTTCTATTTGGCTAATTATTTTTATACTAAATTAGCCAAAATGCTAATTTGTTATTCCAGCTTAAACCCTGTTAATATAATAATTCATGTATTGCATTAAATTAATGTTTAGTGCAAAATAAATCTGATTTGTTTTACCATATTTTGTACCATATTGACAACATTTGTTGAATTTGCCGATTGATGAATTATATAAAAAGTATATTTACTGACTTACTTGAAGTAGAAGTCATCAACAGGTGTGGTCTTGTACCTATAAGAAATAAAACTACCGGTAATATATTTAGTTTATTTTGTCTCTTTAAAAATTATTTTCTTTCTACCTCTTTACTGGGTCCTAGCGAGACAAGTACTGTACCTACTTCCTAAACTAGGACCCAATGATAATAATGTTTTTTCCCATTTTTTGTCATTTTTTTTTGTACTGTTATAATTGTATCTGTTTGGCATTATTATCGAAATAAATGTTATCTGAATTAATCTAAATGTTACCTGAATTGAATTGATCTAATATAAATCATTGCGTACTTAATATGTTAAGGTAGCACTGATAGACTGCCATACCTGGGGGAAAGAGGCATGAATTGTCTTGCTTCTTTAGCTGTTGTTATATTTTAAATATTAGTGAGAAAGCAATGATTTCTTGGTAGTCATTAGTACAGCATGTGTTCAGTTGAATCACAGAGGAACTATAAGAAAAAATCCAATCAGCAAGTACTTTCTCTCCATACTCAATATTATCAAAATTTTGAGGAATGCAAAGTAGTAAAGTATAATTATGAAAATATATATAGTATGATTGTATACTGTACAATGCATTTTGAGATTTAATTACATAATAAAACATTAATGACTTATCATTAATCAAATTATGTTCTAAGTAGATTTTTTTTTTTTAATATAGCATGCATGCCAATACTCCCGTTTTTCGCGGGAGACTCCCATTTTGGTGACCTGAATCTAGCCCAATATTTTTTCTTATTCTTTCTCATGTGCCTCACCGGTTACAAAGAAAATTGCATGGCGCACTGATTGCATTGTCTTCTTTTTGCAATAAAATACTTCGAAAAAATATTTACATTATCTTTCATTATTTTTCCCAGAGACATCATCGCCACTCTGTGAGTGGTGCGAGACATGTAGATGTGAGCGCTGCAAAATTCATGTTGGCCTGGTATAACACTGGATCAAGATTATAAGGTGCCTTGGTCAGTAAAGATTGTAAGATTAAGGACAGATCTACCATATCACGCGGTTGTGGTGACGTGGCTGGGGGGGGGGGGGGGGCAATTGGGGCGCATGGTGAAATTTTAGGAGGCAATATGTTTTCCCATAATGTAGCAGACCGAAGGTACAATTATAATTTATAAAATCACAACATTCACAGCGGGTAACACTCATAAATCTGTAATTATTAATATTCAATATCTATCATTATAAATATTCAATATCGATTTATTTCACAATCACATTCATATCACATATGTGATTACAATAGAAAAAATATGTGTGTCTATAAATATGAAAATGATATACAGTACGAAATTGAAAGCAAATCTGTTAACATGCAGTCCTTTTAAATGAGATAACTCTTTAAAAAAAATCCTTAATCTTTAAATCAAAATCTCTGAAAAACTGAAAAGTATGTTACACTAAGTCTGTATATCAGGAAAAGGTAAAATTAATTATACTTTAGACCTTTTACAGTATAGGGTCTGCGATTATACAATGCAGTGGCGCAACGCCTATGCAGCTCATGCGGTGGTCCGCAGGGCCCCTGACAACTAGGATCTACAGTACAGCACGCACCCTGACCACAGAGGACTTTGTTGATACAACACCATAAAGTGTATGGCATATTATATCCAGTAGCAAATTTTACCAGCCAATGAGTCATGCAAAAATAATGTAAACAGAAAAATATACTGTCATTCAAATTTTTAATTGTCAACAATGTACTTAATAACTGTGTTTGAAGCATTTCTAAATGATATATACCTACAGTACTGTATGTTTGTTGAACCTTGGGGAAAAAAAATCATGTATTTTCCGTGACATAGAAAAAAAACTTAAACTTAATCAGTATCATATGAATTGAGGAATACCATCATGTTACAACACATGTAATATGCCTATAATTTAATTAGCAAAATTCAATATTACTGTGCTTTTTTAAACTTTCAAAAACCATGTAGGCCTACGTAAACCGTGTTTAGTCATAGGGATATATTACAATTTAGTCCATTATTTTTCACACTTTCTTGACTACCAAGGCCTATTTTAGAGATTTTGGCCTATGCCGCGTAGCTTTCACCCATGCACACATAGGCCTACACTTACTCGATACACCAAAGAACGTCTCTCTTGACAGGGGTAATTCCGCATGTACAGTAGAACCTCTCATTTACAGTACGAACCCCGATTTTACAAATTCCCAATTTTACGAATGTAAAATCATGTCATTGTTGTCATAAATAAAGTTCCTATTTCATGTACAAAACACACACGGTGTGTCAAGAATTAATCGTTAGGTGCGTGCTGCAATTTATTCACTCGGTTTGCTGTACACTATCAGCGATCTCTACTACAATACAAAAATGCACATAGTGCGCTTTGAATACAATGACATTCAACACAGCGATCATGTACTTCATGTCTGCAGACGTGAGAAAACTCCACCCAATGCGTAAGTTGTTGGCATATCAATAGGCGCATGATTTATTCAGTGGAAAATGTTCGTAAACAAACTTGTTCAAGAACATTGTCCACTGAATAAATCATATGTGTCTTAACCCTAACACTTACAGTACGTAATAGAAAAAATTTATTTTAACCAATGATATTCGAATAAATTTCACACAAGAGATTACTGTGTAGCGTATAGGCCTACAGTCACATTTAGGTTCCATTTACAATTTTAATTAAAGGGGAAGTGCGGGGATGAGACAAGTGGCCATATATTGCTTATTTAACCTTTCCTGAGTTCGGGAAAAATACTTAAAAAATTCAAAACGTTGAGATGTAACGATAATTAGAGAAATAAAACATGAATTGATGAGACGGGAAAATCAGGTGAAAACGAGGCTGATCACTTTTTTCAGTAGCTTGGTAGCATTTTCTAACCAACTCATTAATATTCAAGACCAGTCTGTCAATTTTGGCGAGAGCCGATCGGAAAATTGTCCCGACGATCGAGCAACTAGCCTAGACAATACATAACAGTAGTGTGAAGTCGTGAGTTTTTGTGATCGTTTACGTATGCAGTTACAGAGAGACGGTTTAGTCAACGTCAATTCAATCATGGAGGAATAATTCAATTGAATTAATAAACGTATATCAGTCCGATGACTTGTTTGTTTATAATTAGGCCTATGCCTAGGATTAGCACAGTCAGTGTCTACCCAGCAGCAGTAGCGCACTCCTGACCAGGACACTGCTCCAGTCCCGCAGCAGGTGAGTTCGCACGCAGCCTTATCCAGCTGACGGTCAAGTTAGTAGGTTTCTAGCCTAGAATTGTCATGCCATGGCGACTTTGTCACATTAATTTTTTTTTCTAATAGGCCTAGGCCCCTAGTGGGCCTACTAATAATACTATAAGGCCAAGTTAAAGGCCTGGTCCTATGAAAAACTATCTAGAGACTAGGCCTAAATGTCTAAAAACTGCACTGTCTTAAAATAAAGGTGATTGCTATAACACTACAGTATATCATCATAGCCAACACCAATTCCTGTAACAATAAGATTATTATTGATATACTGTAGGCCTAGAAGCTAGGCTACACAACAATAACGCCCCATTAAATAATAACATGGTGCATATGTTACTCCAAACCTAACTTTCAGCTGTTGTTGAAATGTGGAATTCAAATAAAATATATAACAGTATATATATTTTTTTGTAGGTCAAGATATGTGATACGCCGAAACATAACACTCTGGCCACATAGGTATTTGCCAGTCGCCATAATGAGACAAACAAACCACAACATTTGCCATGAGTACAATCCCCAACATTGGCATTTATGAAAGAAGGTGGTACAAATCATACAAGCACCCAAGACGTCAGCAAGAAACACTCTGGTTGTTTGCTGAAACTTGTAATGAAAGCTACACACAATTTAAGGTGAGCAAAAGAAAATTAAGTGAATATCTCATCACTGTTCAGCCAGACTACATGAAACAAATATATTGGAATGGTAAAAAAATATCAGCATGGTGTGTCAGTTTTAAGAGCAACAATAATACATTACACACTAGCAGACAAGAAGGCTTCAATCAAGTAATTAAAAAATCTGAAAATACTGTCAATTGATGAATGTCTTTCCAGATTAGTATACAGTATCTCATTATGGTATGTTATTGATAAAGCAGCAAATGCCAATGTTTGATAACTTTTTTGATTTTTAACAAACCTGGTTTTGCATTATTGTAACTAAAGTATACTTATTTCTCAATAGGAGCAAATGGCAGGCTCAAATGGATGTGATGCAAACAGTCAGTCCCATCTGTGTGGACATGATGAAATGGACATGTCCAATCCATGGTTAGCAGAAGGTGGTGATGCTCAGAGCTCTGCAGCAAGTGATTGAGCCCAAAATATTTCAAAAGAATTAAATTAAAATGATTTATCTAGTGATTTCTTTTTCTGGTCTACATTTGGTTTATATTGCATGCCAAATTTATAATAAATAAATAAATACTGTACCAGTATTACTGTACCTGTTTCATTTGCAAAATATCTTTAATATTACTAAATAATAATAGTGTAGTTTTATATAGCGCACAAATCCATCTAATGTAAGATGCTCAGGGCACTTGAAATGTGGACTAGGAACTCGATCAATGACTTTCTTTGCCCCTAAGGGTCCCTTTGTGTCTATGCTACCCGGTAACCCGGTACAAGCAACTATCGTCCTCCACCACCAAAATGGTATAATCCCATTAAATATTAATCCTTTTGAAGCAAATATGTGACCCAGATTTAGAAAACAAATTGTGAGGATTAATTTTGAAA